CCCCCCCCCAATATATTTGACATAATCAATAGGGGCATTTGGTTTCTGAAAACTAACTTGGCTCTCCTTGGACGTCTGGGTGCTCTTTCTGAAACTCCTCTTTCTTTTTGTCGAGCTCTTGCTGGAAGTTCTGAAATTCCTCCTGGTACTTGTCCTTCTCTTCTTTAGGCATCTCAGATTCAGGTGGGGGCTTCAATGGAAAAGACAAAAAAAAAACCCTCTCTGAAACTCAATAGAGGCCGTGCTTAAGGCTATGTGAACATGCATGCTTGCAGCACACAGAATGAAACGGCGCACACAGGATTGTGAAAAAGTGTAAGGAGCTCTAAGAAAATGTAGTTACCGGTTGCTGGCCTGGCTCTGTGAGTCTGAATAACAGGAAGGATAAAACATCATGGTCATCTGATAGAGGAAAAAAATTCTGCGTTAGAAAATTACAACAGAAATAAACATATTTAAAATGTTGGTAGTACTTTACATTACTGCTTAGTAACAACAAGGTTTATACCATGTAATTACAGAGTAATAACATCGTATTATCTTGGTTATAACATAATAATATATATTTTTTTTATGTAATATGTAATACTAAGAAGAACATTTCAATCTTGTTAAGAACATAGTTTAAAAGACTTTTACAATAGACCTATCGTCTTACAATAATTAGGTTGTATCAGGGTTTAATACAAGAATAATGGGGTCATTTCACTGTTAACTCTTTTTATAGAGTAAAAATGGGGGTGGTGTTAAGGTGGGGAAATATGCTGATGAAAGAGAGGATAACAGAGATAATAATAGATTAAAAAGCTCATTATAATTAGATAATAACAGGTTAATGTTTTTACAATGCTCATAATAATATATCACAAATAAAAAAGAAAATAGGAAATCAACAATCAACAACAGTCAACAATTACAACTCTTACATCAACAAAAGGATAATGCAAAAACTATTTATTTTCTTCTACTTATTTATATCTTACATTAATCCAAACAGTCCTAACTTGGAAGCACAGTGGAATATACACACATCCGGTGTACCTCCACACCTGACAATTTAAGCTAAATCATTTTGTATTTCAGCTCCGCCTAGATGAGTCGGCCTGTGGAGTTTTAATTGGAGGGCTACAAAGAAACGTCTTTTTAAACAACTAAATACTGACATAAGAGCATTTAACACAGAAGATGAAATAATACCTGCTAAACCACCAGTGGCAGCTGAAATGCCGAAGAAGCCCTCGCTGGGAATGACCATGTTGTCCACCTTTGTGCAGAACTCATAATCCTCTTTGTCTGGAGTGAAACCATTGTTGATCATCACCTGAGGAGGACAGAACAATGTCACCACTGAGTGCGCTGATCAGCAAACACTGTTTTTTATTCCCCTCGTTTCATTTATATAGGTAATAACTCTTGTATTTGATGCTCAACATGAGTGTTTAGAATTTCTCCTACCGTCAGTGTCTTCTTGTAGTACGTTATTTTGGCTCTGACGGGATACGGTTTGTTGCGGAAGTCTCGTAAACATGTACCGAGGGCTTGTGTGGTGCCGTCACTGGATCAAAACAACAGACAAAATATATCAATTACATTAATCTATATACAGCACTACGCTCCATATAGATAGAGTACAGTATGATGAAAGTCTATTAAATAAATGAATAACATAAATTCCTGTGTATGTTTTTGTAAACACTTTGTGAATTCTATGACAAACTGGAATTTGAAGAAGTGATTTAAAGCTTTCACTGGTCCGCGAGAGATTAGGAAAGATAGAGGATTATTTACTTTCCAAGCAAATATAATCACATTTCCTAATCTTCTTTAAGTTGTTAAAATTTGAGTTGGTGACGACATCAGAGCCAAGCAAAAGAAATGTTTACTCACTTTTGGTGGTCATAAACAAGGTTGCCATTGTTTCCCACAACAACTATAGCTGGGTTATTTTTCTGGAATGGAGATGAGAATAGAAAGAAACAGCATTAATCCTTTTTTCATCTGAAGACCCGAGGTGGCTTTGCTTTTAAAGTAATCAAAAATATCAATCCCATACCTGGGCACAAATAAATAATAAAAAAATGTGATATAAACAGACCTATGAAGATTTGTTTTGCATGGCAGCGATAGATGTTTCTTTTTATTTATTTAGCATTTCTTACCACAAAAATGAACCAAAATTAATATTCCCCACAGCTAAATTAGAAGCTGTCTTTGTGTTGGTGTGTGCTATCTTTCTAGCAGAAAATCTTTGAACAAGAGTGGAAAGAAAGAAACACTTAACAGCGAGTCCTCTCTGAACTTGGAATACACCGATACAACAAATACAAGTATAAGTACTGACATTTGGGTATTTACCGAGCAACATTATGAGTACTTAATAATACCACTACAGTTCTAACAATGACTTTAAAAACATGTTTTATTTTCATGTTTTATGACATTGCTTCTCCTTCAACTACCTGCTCAACTAACGAGAGGTTACGCAATGTCACGCTGCTGTAAAGTGGTACAAGTAGAACTACGTGCCCTCAGTATTGGACCCGATATCGGATACTGGTATCGGTGCTTCCCTACTTTCAACACATGCAGTTTAGAGAAAAAGAAAAGAACTCCCATTAAAACACATTAAAACACTAGCAGGAATGTCGACACCAACCTTTCCATCATTGTCAAAGGAGTCAAAGAAGATTCCAATTCCACTCCACTGATCAGCGGCACCGTACACCGGACCGTCGAGGCCTTGTGCAGTGGTGAACCACACAGCCTGTTAGATAAAGAAAATGTGGTACAGATATTAGATGACTTGGTTTTAGCATCCTTAATCAAATACAAGTCAAAGGCAGTAGCCATTCCCGTGTGACTGGTTGTTGGTTTGCCTCTTAGGTTTTTCCAGTGAAGTTAAATCAATATGGGCTGTTACAGCACAAGCTAGCTCAAGATGTTAATGCTGTTCACAACAGTTCTTTTTGTCAGTTGGGGAAATACTTGTCTTCCCCCTGTGGGCATGACACAGTTACTCAAACAGGATCTGCACCTTTTCTGTCAAATATGCAGGTTTCTCCATATGCAAGGTTTGATCATTATACAGTATATCTTACTTAACTGTTGAGGTTGGAATAGGGAAGTTCTCAGCTGTCATTACAGGTAAGGTTTGGTTTCTTTATCAATATGAGGTTGGAAATCATTTGGGTGCAAAATGCTAACTTGCTGTCTGAACAACTATTGTCCCCAAACTTAAGTACTTTTTTTCTGCTTTACATAATGGAGTTTAAAAAACTTTCTTAAGTAACTCACATCACTTCATTGACTCTGCCGCCATGGAAAAGTTCTGCTTGTTATAAAGGCTAATATAGAAAAAAAGCTACGCTAAACTTGTTTGGCATCAAGTTTCATTATTCTTTTTAGTCATTGGTTGAGTTTTTTCTGTTTAATTTCTAACCTGTCCTATCAATAAATGTCACCAATTGCAACAAGCAGGGGGATGTAACCGGTTTCTATTGGTATTACGGCAATGAAAATGAACACACCCACAACTGAACATTATTATTACTCAGTCAAGATAATCACAAAACTCACTACATGTAATATTTAAAGTAAAAACGTAACCAAAAAAAAAGGGAGAAGACCAAACAAAACTATTTAAATATTTACACAAGCTCAACATACATATATGTTTTTGGAACACACTAATCCAAAGATCCGGAGAGAAAGAACCTGAAACAAACTATTTTCCATAATTTACAAGCTATAGAGGAGCACGCCCTGATCCAGGGATCCCGAGAAAAAGGTGCAGAGAAAAGGTCAAACGTGCCCCCACCGACGCCGCACCCACTGGCCCAGAAAAAGAGGAGCGGAGAGACGCACGGTGGCTGGCTGGCCAAAGAGCGCTTTGGACCGCAGCATGGAATGAATTACAAATATAATGCTATGTTGAATTATTTCTCCCTTTTCGCGAATGGTCCTGAACAAGTCGCTAAAATCTATGTGAGAAAGCTGGCAACACGCGGCGCTCTTCTACGATTATTTTGTGTTGTTGATTTTGTTAAGGTAGACCTACACTCGACCTGAAGGCACAAATGACAATAGGGTCAGGCCTCGAGCACCCTGCACCATTTTCTCCAAATTTTACCACCTACTATTAAAATGCTGACATAGTGTGATCCTAAATGTACTAATTTAAATGTCTGCCGTCCGCAGTACCAGGTGCTATTTTAATATGTCCCCCCAATGAACCAGGACCCCATTTTAAGCGCTGGCTCTATCAAGTAATAAAGGGATTGCTTTGATTGTAGATTTGTGAACCATTTTAATAAAGCACAAGTAACACATGGATGTG